GGATTTATATTCTTTTTATCTATTTATCTGATATTATTACTGGATTTATATTCTTTTTATCTATTTATCTGATATTATTACTGGATTTATATTCTTTTTATCTATTTATCTGATATTATTACTGGATTTATATTCTTTTTATCTATTTATCTGATATTATTATTGGATTTATATTCTTTTTATCTATTTATCTGATATTATTGGATTTATATTCTTTTTATCTATTTATCTGATATTATTATTGGATTTATATTCTTTTTATCTATTTATCTGATATTATTATTGGATTTATATTCTTTTTATCTATCTATCTCTATCTGATAATATTCTATCTAATTATCGATATTATTGGATTTATATTCTTTTTATTTATCTGATACTATTATTGGATTTATATTCTTTTTATCTATCTATCTCTATCTGATAATATTCTATCTAATTATCGATATTATTGGATTTATATTCTTTTTATTTATCTGATACTATTATTGGATTTATATTCTTTTTATCTATCTATCTCTATTTGATAATATTCTATCTATCTAATTATCTGATATTGTATTTATATTCTTTTTATCTATCTGATAATATTATTCTATCTATCATCTCTCTCTCTACCTATCTGAGGTTATTACTGTATTTATATTCTTTTCCCCATTTTGCTCATCACCTTGGAGTTACGAGAAAAAGTTAGCAGCGTTTCCTTATGGGGTTTAGAGGCCGCCCCAACCCGTCACGATTCTGGGCGGCTGACAAAACGCAAAAACGAAAAACGTGTTCATTCGAAAGGAAAGTCTGGCGGGGGGGGCATTAACAAGCATTTAAAAAAAACAAAAACTCCCATGAGGGGTCTGCTATCTACTCCTGACCCAGGCCCTGGGGATAAAGCTGGGGGTTAAGGATTGGCTTGAATAGGGTTGGTTTCGAGAACACAAAGATGGAACCTCCATGTTCAGGGGAAGTATAGCCCTAAATCTAGTCGTACAGTTCAGAGATATGACCCAACGTGGGCTGAAGTTGTGTCAGTGCAGAAGAATGGGTTTTTTTGCTCGCTGTTTCCTGCCTGGTTTAATTGAATGTATGGATTTATTCATCCGGTCCTTTCTCCAGCTTTCTCCACCTCGGTCAAGCTCCGTGACGCTGGACTGCACGTCACCCCCGGACACGCTCTTGCAACACATGTTGGATCTGGACGAGTTTGTACCACCGGTTCCGCCCCCCCCTTATTACCCCCCAGAATATACCTGCAGTTCAGAGACAGATGCCCAAAGGTGAGACGGTGGAAAACGTGGGTAGCACGGCACGTAAAAAAGTTTTGGCTCTGTGAAAAAAAATAGCCAAAACCTCGCACAAGGGCTAGGGAGGTTTGGCTGACAGCAAGACCCCGATCTGAAGGGGAAGAGAACCATAATCGGGTGGGGCCGGTCCACCTCTGTATCCAGATTGCCGAAAGAACCCCTTTTCTGGCACGGCAAAACACACACCGAATTTGAAACCATTCCAATCAGCCGGGTCCGTGTGAAACTGGAACCGTAAAGTGACCGTCGACAAGCTTCAAACAAACGAAAATGGGAAAAGTCTAAAAAAAAAATCTTTCAGGGCACAGGAGCAGAGGCTTGGAAGAACGTGGCAACCTGGGTGAGATGAGAAGAAACTTCTAGGGTTCACGTTGGCCTTGCCGAGCTGCTCAATAAATCCTATTTATTTAATGTATTGAACGGATAATATCTTTTTTTGTTGTTTTTCAGTATTACTTACAATGGTTCCATGGATAGCCCCGTGCCCCTGTATCCCACTGACTTCCCTCCAAGTTATGAGGCTGTTATGGGGCTCCGTGGGGACAGCCAGGTATGGTTTAAGGTGCTCTTGCTGCCGTTGAAAAATAAATAAATGGACGGAGAGACCACTGCAGAGCATGTGCAAAGTGCCCCTTCTTCTTTAAAGGGGCACCTTTGAAATCCCAGATGGTGGAAGGGAGTTGAAATTGGAGTGGATTTAGTTTGGATGTCATCTCAGTTGGGCTGAGCAGAGGCTGGCTTTCCATGTGCCTCTCGTTCTTTTTGGATTGTAGCAAGAAAGAAAATTAAATTCAAGAAGATCAATGGCCTTGACCACAAAAAAGTATTTTCGAAGTTACGACAGTGATGAAAAAAGTGACTTACGACTGGTCCTCGCACTTATGACCATTGCAGCGTCCCCACGGTGATTGTGATTCAGGCGCTTGGCAACCATCACACATTTACAATGGTTGCAGCGTCCTGCAGTCACGATTGCCATTTGCAACCTTCCCAGCTGGCTTCTGTCAAGCAAAGTCAATGGGGAAGCCAGCAGTGAAGGATGCTAGTCATGGTCACATGATGTCTTGTTTAATGACCGTGGTGATTTTTTTAACAACCGTGGCAAAAAAGGTCATAAAATTGAGTGCGGTCATGTGATGCCTCAATGACTGCACCACTTTACAATGAATTTTCTGGTCCCTATTGTGGTCATAAGTTGAGGACTACCTGTATGGGCTTTCTAGAGATATCTGACTAGGAGACTCTAGGAAAGAAGATACTGGGTAAAATAGGCTATCGAAGGATAAACAAGGTAGATCCTGTGACTAGCTGTTATCTAGGGCCACTGTGGAACCTCCAAGGACAACAGCATATACCTTGAAAACTGCCAGGGAAGTTTTCCTGCATTAGGCCCCTGAATTTCCTATGGGCTGGCAGGGGAAGCCAGATGGAGGATTAGCAGACCCTTGGTGTCGATCCAACAGACCTTCACGGTCACCCGTAAAGCTACATTTATGGACCTTTTCTGTCTCAATTCTGCAGGTAACACTGTTTGACTCTCAGTTTACGGACACATCGCATGGGCCATGCTCCTGTAACCAGGTCCCTTCTGTTGTGCTTAGTGGTGAAGGTAAATACACACACACACACAACTGGTTTTATGCACAGCTGGAAAAGGCCCTTTTGTGGTAGCTGTTCCACCTTAAAGTCCCTTGTAAGTTCAAGGAAGCGCAGACGTTGGCCTCAATTAGAAGGTCTCTTAGCGGGCTGAAAACTTCTCCTCCTTCGAGAAGAGAATTGAAATTTAGAGGGTGGATGTCCCGTTTTATTCTTACGATCCACTTCCCAGCAAACTTTCTATGCTTCCACACAATCTTGGGGGACGTCCAGAAAGCAGCCTTATTCGAGGGAAGGTCTAAAGTGGTTGCGTCCCACTAGAACCAAACGAGAACCATCACGAGTTCCCGTTGGTCTGATTCTTCTGACACTGGACCCTGAGCCTGCGATGGGGTCCGATCCACTCCGAATCCAGCGTTAGTATGATTTCCGAGAACTCGACGAACCTGTTTCACAGGTGCGCCTCTTTTTGGTCTCGTTTTCGCACAGCGGTCTCCGTGGATAGCAACTCCCTGGTCATGTCGGAAATCGTGGACATCCCTGGGGATAGCAGCCCGTCTGAGGACTCGTGCCTGTTGGAAGCCAGTGGGTCGGCGTGCTCGGTGGACTACGTCCTCTTCCGCTCCATCCAGCGCAGCCGAGCTGATTACTGCTTAAGCATGGATTGCGGGCAGTGTGGACTTCACCCCCAGGGCCCGTTCGAGGATGTCCCCCAGGCGCGTCTGCGCGGGGAGCGCTCCTTCTCCTGCTCTACGCCGGGCACCGTGTACGAGGGCCTGCTAGAGGCCAGTAGCGCTCACACCCACAGCTGCCACCGCCTGGAAGGCCTCGGCCACAGTGTGGGGCCTTGTTTCCCCGAAGTGCGAGTGAAAGCCAAGACTTCCATGGCAGGACGCAAAGTGTCCCGACAGCAGCGCCGGAGCAGCGAAGCCTCCTGCCAGTCAGCTGTGGTCCATGGTCCCCTGCTGCGGTCCCACAGCGATCCTGGAATTGCCATGCCCAGGGATGTTGGTGAGTAGGTGGGGAAGCCGCAGAAAAGAGAAAATGGGTGACCCCTTTTCCGAGTTCAACAGAGGAACTCTGAGCAATGGTCCCCTTTCACCTAAGCATCGTTCCCAGCCCCAATCAGATCTTTTACCTGCCCCCCAAGCGACTAAATCCCCAGATTTTAATTCTGTCTCTTCTGGTTTTCATCCCCCACCTCCACCCCACAGAAAGCGATTACCAAGAAGTATTCTGCACTAAAGTGTCTGGGGATGATGGATCTAATTCCTCAGCTGATACAGGTGAGGGCAGTACTGCTCAGGTGGTGTGATAACCCAACTTGGTGTAATGTATTCTGGCTGGCTGAATGAATGAATAAGTTTTGATGGCACTGTTAGGAAGGTGCTGACTGCACCCACAACTTAAATTCTCTGGTATCTCTTTTCAGGGCCGTGTTCGGAGGCCTGCCTCTTGCACCCATCGCTCTGTGACCCGCCCTTGCAGGCTCACTTGGCCGGAAAGGCCAAGCCAGAGCCCCCACAGAAGGTGCCCCATCACCTATCAAAGACTATCACGCGCTCCCTGGGGGACCTGAAGGTGTGCCGTGGGACTCGCGGACTGATGGCCCGATTCCTGCACAGATCCAAACGCAACTTGACCCTGCTGGGAGCAGACATGGCTTCTCGCGGGAATAAGCAGGTACCGTACAAGGTTGCTAGGCTTACAAAAGTTCAGGAGGCTTCCCTTAGTAGGAACAATAGCACAGAAATGGAAATAAAGTGGGAATGATTGGAGCCAAATCGGGGACTGTGGCCAACGTGTGGATTCAGGAAACGGGGACAGAACTAGGTCTCTTCCATGAGGACCGTATGATCTAAACTTGGAATTCTGTAGAACGGACTTGGAAGGGATGGGGAGAAGCAAACGGGAAGAAAAAGAAAGCTACGGTTTGCTTTAAAGGAAATTACAGGTAGTCCTTGCTTACCGATGGTAATTGGGACCAGGAACTCCGTCACTAAGGGACACGGTCGTAAGGCACGAGGTCACGTGACCATGCTGACTTACAACGGCAGTTCCAGTTCTAATTGTTAGGTGAATCCTGCGGGGTCACAGCATCCCGCGGTCGTATGATCACCATTTGCGACCTCCTGTCAGCTTCCCCATTGACTTTGTCAAAAGCCAGCAGTGGAGGTCGCAAATGAGGATCACATGACCGTGGGAACGCTGTGATGGCCGCAACTATGAGGACCTGTCGTAAGTCCCCCTCGTTCAGTGCCATCGTAACTCTGAACAGTCGCTGAATGAGCACACGTTAAGCTAGGACTACCCCATTACAAAGTTAGGGACACCCCCCCAGCACATACTTGTGAATTCAGTAAAACTGATTATCCGGACCTCTGTTCAGTTGCCTTTGCATGCCACGGAGAAAATCTTCGTTCAGCCCTGAACGATGGGCAACATTTGTCACTTCCAAGAACAATTTGGAAAGGAACGTAAACAGCATCATGTATGTCAATTCCCCAAATCTGAGTAGAGGACGTGGATTGATGCAATTAACGTAACAGATGTCAGTGATGTGCAACACAGTGCAAACGGCCTAAACGGATGCAAAGATTGCAGACACGCCTTCTTCCCACTCCATTAAGTCCAGGTTTTACTCTCTGTCGGGCCCAGCCCAATAAACAATGGCAAACAGTCCGGTTGAGTTCAGTTCCTTTATGTGCTTATACCACAGAGACAGAATCTTGCTAGACTAAATCTGTATTAGTGCAACAAGTGAATATGCCCTGGGAGATTCTAGGGAGTGGCCACCCTGACCTTTTTTTGCTTCCCACGCCCCACCTCCGGACTGTGTTGTCTTTTGTCTCCTTGCCCTTCCTGGGATGCACCTCTCCTTCCTGGCAGCCTCGCTCTCTGCTGCGATCCGCCACACTCTCGTTCCTTTATTATCGTTATTACATGAAATTAAATAGAACGACCCCCTCACCTTTCAAAATACACCACCTTTCAAAAACCAAAACCGAAAGAAAACTGGGGGGGGGGGAACATGGAGGGCATCTCTTAATAAATACATATCTATGCACACATTGATATATTTATGTTTAGATTGGTATACATATATTTAAAGAAGTATATAATATGCATTTAATACATATTACAGAACACATACGGGTAGTCCTCAGTGGTAATTGGGACTGGAATTTCCATCGCTAAGTGACGTGATTGTAAAGCGTGATGTCACATGACTGTGCCGCTTAGTGACAGAAATGCTGGTACTTCCAGTTGCTGTCGTTAAGCAAATCACTGTGGATTGTCAAGCGAGGATGTCACGCGGTTGCCATTTGTGACCTCCTGCTGGTTTCCCCGTTGACTTTGCTTGTGGGAAGCCAGCAAAGAAGGTCACAAATAGTGATATGGCAATGTCATAACTGTGAGCCAGGTGCCAAGTGCCTGGATTGTGATCACATGACTGCAGGGACGCTGTGACCGACGTAAGTATGAGGACCAGTTTTAACTAGCACTTGTTCAGCACCGTCGTAAGTTCGGTCACTGAACGCGGTTGTTAAGCGAGGACCACCTGTAATGTGTATTTGATCTTTACCCCTTTCTATTACATTAAACATTCCAGGATAGCAGCAATTTCTGAGTCTCTCTGGTGGTTGCCATCCAAGTTTTTAAGACTGGGAATTAAGACTGGGCTTTGAAGTTGTGATATTGCTTTTGCCTCAATTCCTGGAATTGCAAACCAAGATCCAGGCAAACCTGTTAAACCTGGAACAAACTTCTCTGTTCCTGATGCTGTTTCCCACCAACTGTTGGGCTAGACTGAGTGTGGAATGGGGTTAATCCAGTGGGCCTCTAAGAAGGAAAAAAAAAACAGCTTGGAATTAAAAGCAATGCAGGGGAAGAATGTGGATAAGGACGCTGGCAAAAGTCTTGAATCAGATATAAATGAACCAGGCAACCTTTATTTATTTATCCAATTTATATAGCCTTCCCATCTCACCAGCAAGCAGCTCTGGGTGGCAATTTTCATTTCAAATCTTTCTCTCCCTCCCTCCCTCTCCTTCCTTCCTTTCCTTTTTCTTTCTTCTTTCTCTCTCATTCCTTCTTTCCTTCATCACTTGTCTCCCTTCCCTTCCCTTCCCTTCCCTTCCCTTCCCTTCCCTTCCCTTCCCTCCCCTCTTTTTCTTTTCTTGATTTCCCCTTTTTATACCTCTTATCTTTCTCTCTCCCTCTCTCCTTCTCTCTTTTCAACATCTTTCCTTTCCTTTCCTTTCCTTTCCTTTCCTTTCCTTTCCTTTCCTCTCCTCTCCTCTCCTCTCCTCTCCTCTCCTCTCCTTTCCTTCTGATTAATTAAAACACCACTGCAAAGAAAGACGACAAGCATTAGAAAGAACCGTAACAAAGATAAAGACAGTGATTAAAGAACCTCCCCTTCCCCCCATAGAGTTTGCTCTATTGAGCCTGGAATGTTCCAGTCAGCTAATGAACATCTAATTAGCAGGGCTCTTGGGAGAGGAGGCCTTCTTGAAACAGGATGGCACAGAATTTAAATGGCTGGAGCTTTGCAATGAATTTCTCCTGTTTGAAATTCAGAAGTTGCTTCATAAGGTCTGTTTTTTTCACGCCGTAGATTTCTAAAGAATTCCTGAGTGTAAATTCCTTGGTCTTGCAATTCTTTCCTCATCAGGACCTGGTTAGTTCAGATGACATGATCTTGGCTTGTTCAGGGCATATTTTCACGGCAGATTTCTTTTACTTTTTTCCCAAGTATTGGTCCTTATCCAAGATGACTCCAGTCTCAGGTACCCTGCCTGGAATCCTAATTATTTTCAAACACGTAGTGTTACTGAAATAATTTAAGCCTCTCTCTTAAGGTTGTCAGCAAGCCCTTTAATGAGAGGAAACTCTCTCGGTCTCTTGTGCAAAATTAAATTCCGCCCCTGTGAAGCCATGGTGTGATTGGAGCGGGTTAGGGTGGTTTATGTTGCAAGCCACGGTTTGTAATGTGACGGGTCAAAAGGAGGCGGTGGATAAACGAGGTAACGTCAAGATGGTAAATTGAGCTTTAAAGATGGCCAGGATGGGTAGGAGTCTCTTGCTTGACCTGATCCCATCGAAAACAACTTCATCAGAAGTTCATTGTACTGGAAATAATCATCAGGTTTCTCCAACCATTACTGTGAGTTGTCTGATTTTACTTCTAATACAGCGCGATCTGTTTTTCTTGCGGTTCGAGTGTAGTGGTACATGGGAAAGACCTTGGGAGACAGGAGGAAGAGCCACAGCCTAGACAACGGTCTGAGAAATCTGAGTCCAAAGGAGGGATGGGGGTGGAGGAGGCATCTCAGACGGGACCCTCCCTAGTTTTCGGGAGAGCAAAAGCGAGAGATGGGAGAGGTACTTTCAGACTTGCAAGATTCTGTTCATGGCACCTTGCAATAAAGATAGAGCTAGTACTCCTGGGGGTTTCTTCTCTGGACTACCTCACAAGGTTTAACACTGAGGGACCCTTAATCATTTTTTCTCCTCCCACCTACCCTTTTCCTCCCTGCTAACAGCCTTTCACAGCAGTTTTCAAGTTACTCTGTGGGTTTTTCAGGTGTTACGGCTGGGGAGTCCTGCCGAGGGTATCCACCTGCAGAGCTGCGGAGATCTGAACTCAACCTCCCCGTTGCGGCGACTGCTGTCAGGTCGCCGGCTGGAGCAACGACGTCCCTGTAGCCTTAGCGGACTTCTCAGGGAAAGCAATCTCTGAAGACTGCCTCCGGTGCTTGCCCTGCGCGGAGGCGGATTTCGAGCGAAAAGCCCACGATGGATATCCTGGGGAACGGACCATGGCGTCCTCGTTTCCTCTCTCCCGCCGTAGGAAAGGTGTGGCGATGGCCAGGAACAGCCTTGCAGGTCAACTTATACCACGGCTTGGAAATTATTCTGCCTTGCTCAGGATTCATTCTAAACCAAAGCAGGGAGTCCGGCTGGGACTCCCGTATGGTTACCTCCAAGAATCGTTTTGGGGGAACCACAACCCTTGCGCGGGGTCAGGAGTGAGGGCTTGCCTCACTGCTGACACATTAAGAGGACAAAGACGCTGGCCTGTGCTGTTGAATGCGACAATCGGGGTTCGTTTGCAGGGGCTCCACCAACCTTTGTTCTGGGGTCCCGGATATCCAGGCGCAGCGGTTATGTCTCGACGAGCACGTCCTGCTGATCTAAAAGAGAGAGCTGCCCCTTGAATGAGTTTCTTATCTGTCTCGAGGGGAAAGACCGATCCAAAGGCTTGGATGCACCATTGAACTGATAACCCTTTTGTTCTATCCCAGACTCACTGCCTCGAGCTGCTGTTCCATCTTCCTGTCCCCCAAGATACCCTCACTGTGTCCCGGTGTTCAGTTCCCTTGTACATCCATTCCTCGCGTTTCTCCTCTGCTATGGATACCTCACTTTCGCCGTGCCTTTTGGGGGTGCTTCCCTTGGAGAGGCCGCCAGGGACTGGGAGGGGACTGGTTGAATTCTGGGGAATCCCTTTGGGGAAAGAGGACACGCCTCCAAAGCAGGCCCAGATCGCCACAGGCTGACATCTCAGCACCCAAAAAAAGGTTCAGGTCAGGGTTTGAGGGTAACCCCTTTCTGACAGTAGACTGCCTCTAAACCTGGACGTTCCACGGAGCCGTCGTAATAAGAAAGTTCTGATGGTCCTGGGGTCCAGCTGCCTTGGACAGGAAAGGGGATTAACTGTACCTCCATCCCTTCCTGCTCCCAACTTTGACATATTTTGCTTTCTGCTCGGAGATTCTGCAAAGGAGGCGAAACATCCAGATGCTTCCGTTTCCAAAAAGAGCCGTTTTCTGCCGTTTGGCATGTGCTCTCGCTCCAAACCAATCTGGGTTCCCAGTTTTTGGAGGGCGCATGCGATAAGATCCCGCTCTCACCGTTCCCGACTCCTCAATCTGGGGGGAGTTGGGGGGTTTGAGGATTGCCAACTTTCCCCCCCGCCGGGTGCCTCTGCTCTTTAACCAAGCCTGCATGTGAAACCCAGGAGATATCTGAAGTATCACCTGTCAAATCTCTTCCTGCCACACTGTGTTTGGAAAGACAGAGGATCCCTGCGAAGGGGGGAAAGTTGGCAACCTTCCTTGGTCTTGCCAGTCTTTGAGATGCACAAATACTCACCTGAGAAAGAACAATAAAGCCATATCTATCCAAATCGGTTAATATCCTGAAGCTGCTGGTGTTGCTTGACGTCTTATTTAAATGCAAAGGCAGACAAATCAGATCATGTTCGAGTTGGTGAGTGTGGGTGTGGGGCGGTGAGAACTGAAGCTTCCTTAATTCTAAATCGAAAAGAAACTGACTCGATGCCATCAAGGATGTGAATCTGGAAATCTAGCAGCTAAGGGATGGCGCTGCAAAAATTTGAAATGCACAGCCGCGTGAAGATTTGAGACCGGGTCTCCCCACCCCTAGTTGATGCCGAACACTCTGTCCGTGCTCAGAGGCTCTGTTACTCTGGGTTCAAATTATACTCTGCAAAGGGCCTTCATTCTTCTTGACCTGTAAAAATGTAAGATTGTTGTCCCGTTCTTCCTTCCTTCCCCTTGGAGCAAATGCCTCGTTGGCTCCGGGATTGCTGGAAACGGCGTCCTTCAGTTAGACGAATTTCAGTCCCCGCGTGAAAGCCAACCCCTCCTGTGGCGCGTCTTATAGGATTACGGCACCCTTTGGGGACCTTTGGGGGACGCTTGGCGGGATTCCCAAGACACGCGGGCGGTTGCGGGAAACGCAGTCCGAGGAGCAGAGCGATCCGTTGCACAAATCTTGAACGAGGTCCAGAAGTTCACCCTGGCAGAATGTCATGTCAAAATTAAGTGCCGAGATTGCAATCAACCCATGCACAAAAAATTTGCAACAACTGCAGTAAAGAACAGAGGTTACTAGAACTTGACAGTCGGTCACACCCTGAATACAAATTACGCCCTTGACTGGGAAAACACAGAAGATACCGTATTCCTAGAAGCCTGGCAGGAAAAATGTGCATTAACAGGTGAGGGGGTTGGGTACAATTTGCCACACGTCAGGCGCCTGATCCAAATCATGCCCAACAAGCAGACGAGGCAGGCCGTTCCCACCCAATAAATTGACACGTCCCCAAACCCTCAACCATCTCTCTTGAGTTCAAATCTTATGCAGATTCTTACACGCTGCGGCACCGTCCCGCGGCAGACTCCTCACCGCCCCGGGTAGGCGAAACATCTGTAGAAAACATTACCGATGCTTTTTAAATTTCGCAGTGGGGCCGAGCTCTTCCCATTCCCGCATTAAGGACCCCCCATGCTTCAAACCTAGAACCGGAAGAACGAGAAAGGAGTCGGCCGACGGGCTTTCGAACCCAGCTCCAAAGCAGCCCTTGCCAATGCTGGTCGCCTGGTAAACTGCTTCCGCTCATCCTAGGTGTCCCATTGCCAGATTGGGAAACCGGGTTGCCTAAGCACCCTGTTGTTCAACAGACAGATTAAGCGTTGTGTAAATCCCGGCTTCTCCCCCCCACCCGGCCATCCCCAAGCTGCTTTGTATGTTAATCCTGCGCTGAGTTGCAATCAACGAAGGTGCCAGGAAGGACTTGCAATTCAGAGGCTCCTCCGTGCTCAAAACCCCCAAACGCCCATCGCCGAAGCCCTCGAGAGGAAGAGCCAAAAAGATCGGGGTGCCCCCCCACGAAGAACCTTTATGGACGAGTCGTCCGACCATTGTGGTTGGTTTTCTTGCAAGGGCGCCTGAAGACTTTGTTCCTTCCAGACAACAGAAATGCTCTTCTTGTTCCTATTATTTTAATTATAATGCCGGACCTCACCAACGGCGTTCTTAAAAGCTGCTCCCGCTTTTAACCACAAGAACACAATCGCACCGCCGGATGCCACGGAGGAACTCGCCCACCTCGATAAGCCCTCCCGCCAAGAAAACGGAAATCTTTTCGTTCCCTTCCTTTTCTTCCCCCAGAAACCGAGGGAGGCCCTGGGAGAACAGAAGCCGGACTACAAAGCCCATCTGCCCCAGCAAAGGGGGAGCGGGGAGACAAAGGAAAGTGTTTGGAGGCTGGTAAGTTTTCCGAGCGCTTCTGCACTATTGCTGTTCTGTTGAAGAAGAAGAAAGTGGATTTCAAGACGGGCGAGAAATAGATTCAGTAATACTGATCTTAGACGGGGGCAGATAAAACCTTAATTGTCCTGGACTTAAACAGGAAAGTAAAATAATGATGACTAATAATCTTGATCGTAAACAGAGGCAGGTAATAAGTCTGGACTTACACAGGAGAAGGTAGAATAATGACTAATAATAAAGAGGGGCAGATGATGAAAATGATGACAATAATAATAATTCTGGACCTACACAGGGGAAGGTAAAATAGCAATAATGGCTAATAATCTTGGTCTTAAAGAGGGGCGATGATGATGATGATTAATAATAATAATAATAATAATTCCGGACGCACGCAGGGGAAGGTAAATAGTAACAGCGATTAAGAGCCCTGATGTCGGGCAGCTGGGTGAACGGCTGCCCGGCACTCTCCCCTCCCCAGCCGGGGC